GATCTGCTGCATCTGCTTGGAGCCCACATTGTCTGCTCCCACGATGAAGCATTTCGGATAATCATCCAATAGTTGCTACAAAAAAGCCAGAGAAAAGCCAAGTTTAACAGGAAGAAAGAGGGGGAAAAATGCCAGGAGAAACTGAAAAATGCCACAATTTGTTTCCATCTCGCTCTCTTTCTGATATGCTTTTGAAGCCAAAGGGAGATTGGGACCATTCTTCCCACTAGGAGCTACGCTGTAACACTGCCGAACTGGGTAACAATTGCTGGATAGGAATGGTGAAAATAAAATTAGGTTTCTACATTTAATCAAGGAGTTTCTCCTTTAATTTCTTAGTTTTTAACTTTTCCCAATTATGAGGCATATTTCTGATTCACTAAAATGGTTATAAGAGAATAAAAAAGGACTGTTCCAAATAAGCAGGTCGAGAGGACGGCTAGATTCACAGCTTTCAAAACACAACACTAAGCAAAAATGCAACATATTACTTGTAAATAAAAAAATCTAGGCGTGGATATCTGGATTTTTGTACTGTTCTTTTGGGTTTTCTGTCTGAAAACTTTCGAAGTATTGGAAAATGTAATACAGGCTATGCTCTACAATGTTGCCTAATTGATTAAGTGCAGTATGGGGTTTCTGGGCAAGGGGGACCCACCTAAAAGGCCATCCAAAAGAAAAGTCATTGGACACTTCAGTTTCCTGAATGACAGGTCCTAAATATGCAACAACTTGCTTCCTTACAATGAGTCATTCCTGACCTCAGACCTTCTCAAAGATGGAATAAAAGTGCTCACACCTGTAATCCAAACACTTTGGGATGCTGAGGTGGGCAGATCATGAGGTCAAGAGATCGAGACCATCCTGGCCAACATGATGAAATCCCTTCTGTACCATAAATACAAAAATTAGGCGGGCGTGGTGGTGGGCACCTGTAGTCCCAGCTACTCGGGAGGCGGAGGTTGCAGTGAGCCGAGATCGAGCCACTGCACTCCAGCCTGGCGACAGAGAAACTCCGTCTCAAAAAGATAAAAAAGCAAGCATAACGTGCAGTCTTTTGGAAGCCAGACGGAACCGGATATGAATGCTGTCATCTTAGCCACTTGCCTGAGCCTGTTTATGCAACAGAGAAGACCTATCTCAGGGAATTGTTAATTAAACAGGATTTTCCTAAAAATGGCCTAATTCAGGAGCCAGAACTGAGGAGGCCCTCAGCCCTTAGCAGCCGACTGTCCCTATTTGAGCTGGGGCAACATGAAGGGCAGCGACAACCCACCCCGCACTTACGATGATCTTAAGGAAGTAGTTGGACTTCCAGGTCGCCCTGTCTTCCCTGGGCATCACGGCGGTGCGTCAGGGATTGCCACGCAGGGTTTAAAGACGATGTCACTGAGGAGAGATAGGGAGCTCAGGCCTGGTCACCCCGGCACCCATCCCCCGGTCCTAGGCCTACGCGGAGCAGCGCACGCGCAAGCGCCCGGCGGCCCGGCCTAGGGTAGTCGCTGCCACCTCGGGGCGTGCGAGCAGCCACCGAGGCCCCACAGGGAACAGGATAGGACTCCATGTTCCCAAAAGGCCCCCAAAGATCCCTCCATGCTTCCCGCCGCCGGCCCCTGGGGCCGATCGGCATGACGCACGAACCTTCCACGAGGACGCCTGGCGAGAGAAGGGCCGCACGTTGGAGCGTTCATTTTATATGCGAACAAAGTAGCCAATCAGAAACCGCGGATAAGCACCCGCGCCTATTGGCTGGCGACATTGCTCGTCCGACAAAGCCGAACGAATACAGGCAGCCATTGGATAATATCGCTGCCACTTCAGTCAACGGGAAGCCGCCCTTTAAGTAGGGTCGTGAAGGAAGGAGCTGCCTGGCGTTGGAGGCGCTTGATCTGAGCTGCTGCCACCTGCTGGGCTGGAGCTGCCTTCTTGTAGGCGCTAGAGCAAGCTAGTTCGGAGTTCCCTCTGCCACCTGGCCAGCTCAGCAAACTAAACAGCATGACATGGGGCTGAGACATAATTGCAATGCTCAGAACAGAGTGGTCTCTTGGTTTCTCTAGTTTGTTTTTCCTCCTACCAAAACAGTGGGATACTTTTAAAACCTGGCCGGGCGCGGTGGCTCCTGCCTGTACTCTCAGCACTTTGAGAGGCCGAGGCCAGTGGATCACCTGACAGGGTCAGGTGTTCAGGACCAGCCTGGCCAACATGGCGAAACCCAGACTCTCCTAAAAATACAAAAATTAGCCGGATGTGGTGGCACATGCCTGTAATCCCAGATACTCGAGAGGCTGAGGCAGGAGAATCGCTTGAATCCGGGATACGGAAGTTGGCAGTGAACCGAGATCGCGCCTTTGCACTCCAG